ATACTGTTGTGTCCGCGGGTCCGGCCGTTCGCGAGTTAAGGGATTCTATAGTGAGATATGGTTTGCATTCAAACACTAATTTATAAATTACTGTTTTGTGGCACATATTTTGGTCATAATATTACCGAAACGGCAAATGCAAGCCAAACACTTGTGATCAAAAATGCGACAATAATGTGGTTCATGTTTGGCACACAATTTGTATTTAAAATGTTATACAAGAGCTTAAATTTGTAAGCTATAAATATTTGTTTAAAAATTTAAATTGGTTCTTAATTTAAATGATTATGTGTTTGAATTATGTGTTAAATATGGGTTTAGTATTAAGTGTTATTAAACCTTTTAAATAAAATATGAAATTGATTTACTATTCCGTTTTTAAATATTCTGGTGCTATAAAAGTATTGTTTAGCAAACGCTTTAATAATAAACATTTTTTTGTATTTTTTGTTCACAATCTTTAAGAATACAATAATAAAATATTTAAATGTAATTATTATTTATATAACTTATTTAACTTTATTATATTAAAATTTAATAATTAGTAAGTAATTGTATTTTGCGATGTGAAAGGCGCAATGTTGTTAACTACTGCCATATCTATTGTAATTCGTGTGATGTGATTTTGTTGCTGTTTTAGCATGTTTATAATGTAAAAGATGTGTTACTAATTGTAAATATTTCAGTAAAATAAAGTATATTTATTAAATATTGTAACTATGGTAACATTGATTAAATTCACTAACTGTTACCTTAAATAACAATATTATTTATGGCGTTATTTCACTCAATAGAGAAACCACTTTTCATAAAAACAATGTAAACTTGTTTTCAATAACTAAATGCAATAAGTTTTTATTCTAATTGGTAATCATTTATTAAATTAATTGTTTAAAATATGTTACGATTATTTAGTTTAAAATTTGATATAATATTATCCTTATTCAGGGAAATTCCTAAAACATACAAAAGGGATAGTTTTGATCGTTTCGGTGATGACTTGTGTGAAGTGGTGTTGAGTTATCTCTCATTTGAACAGAGGTTTCGATACGAAAATGTTTGCAAACAATGGCAGAGAGTTGTGTTCAACACATCCACACAATTATCCCTTCACTATGTTTTCACCGAAAAATTTAAAGCAAATATTTTACACAACTTTGAAGTAATGCTCAAAAAATACCCAAATATTGATGGCTTTGAGATTGAAGAGCGTTATAACGAAACGACTGAACAATCAATTAATAGCGATATAATTGAGTTGTTTATCAAATATATCCCGCGTTTGGATTCAATTAATTTCTGGTTAAACCATACGCTTAGCAGCAAAACAAGGGATAAATTGTTTGCAAAGTTTGGTAAACAATTGAAAACAATTGAGTCCTACGAAGAAGACTCGGCCGGCGTTTCGGCAAACATACAGTTGTGTCCAAACTTACAAACACTTGACTTAACACAAACGCTAGAGATGTGGTCAAGTGATGGACCGCTGAGACTATTTTCACAACATCTCTGCGCCGAGAATGAGATACTGTTCCCGAAGTTAAAGACATTTCGGTTCAGATATACCGCCGAAGATAGCGATAGATTTGAGGGATTTGTCCGCAACTATAAGACAATCATTAAGTCGTTATATATAAACATCGATTACAACTGCGATAAACAATCGTTTGATAACCTAATGGACTGTTTGCCACAAATTGTCTCATTGAATGAATTGAGTATTTCTGTCAAAGCTGTCAATCACTTCTCGAGCGACTCATTTGCAGTTCAATTGAAACAATTGGGTCTTAAATGCCGGCAAATGATAAGCCTATCAATCCATATGCCGTACACACAGACAATGTGGGACTTAAATCCGGCACCAATTATGCCGGTAATTAATAAACACTTCCGGTGCTTAAGACGACTGGAAATTACGGGAAAATTAAAGTACGATTTTGTATTCACCGCCGATTCACTCAAGCAATGCCATCTTATAGAGAGGTTCGACTGTAGCCACCGATTGTTTGACAGAAATTTTACGGAAAATATTCACAGAATATTCCCAAAACTACAATACCTGACATTACATGGAATTGAATTGAGTAAACCAGTGCTCATAGCGTTGGAAAAATTGCCAAAACTATTGAAAGTTACTCTTTATTACCCAAAAAATTACACTCAATTTAAGGCTGAATATCTCAGGAAAAATTGCCCAAAAATCCAAAAAGTTATCATTCAAATTTAATAAATACTTAATTTTTAATGTAGCCTAGTTTGTTACACACCTATTTTATTGTATAACAGTATTTTGTAATCAATATTATTTACTCGTTTGAATTAATTTTTATTTTATTACAATTAATACATTGAATAAACTAAGTTATACGGCTATTAAATTCATGTGCATAATTTATTTGTATGTCACATCACAGTCTGACTAACACTGTAGGTCTAACTGTAGTTTATAATGTAAAATAAACTTAATAATAAACTTAATAATGTAAACTTAACATAAAATTAAGCTAAAATATAAAATAATTATATTTATTTTCTGTTGCATTTACAAGCCGTTATTAATTTTTAGCATTATACTTTTCATAGTGTTCGTAACTTATATAACTAACATACTTTTCTCCATCCCACTTAAACTAGTTTACATGTTTATTCAAGCATTTATAAATAAACTCTATGTTAAACTAATCGTTACGGTATTTGTGTTTACAACACAATGTTTATAACCGGTTACCATGTTAAGTTTATCAGCAGTGATCAGGATTGTCAGTTGGAAATAAAATAATAATAAAAACATCCTAGCACCTTTAGTTCAATTGTGAACTATTTATGGCATAAGTAGTTTTAAAAGTTAATTTATCATAATTACTATTTGTAGTTAAAACTAAATGGTAAGTTCTGTAAATAATCATATTCATTAATAACGTATTGTTTTGATTAATTATATTCCGGATTTAATAGCAAACAAAATAGGGAACAGATCAACATTGATGTCCAGCAAATGACCACCAATACTACTCAAGACACTACTTAATTAAAATTTATTACATTAATTGTCATAAATTATAATTTGACAAACTTGTACTTAATTATATTGTGTTCGCCATCACAATAGCAAACAATGTCGATAATAACCAACTCTTCGCGAGATAACTATTACGACGAGACTTTTGATGTGAATTTGCAGTCTATCATCGGTTCCGGCTTTTTTACGACAGTATATCGGGTCAGACATAGAACCGATGGCCAGACGTATGCCGTCAAACAGATCACATTATCGCGTATAGTATTTAAAACAATTTTATAAACTTTTTACAATAATAATAACAAAAAACAATCGCTAAAAAGGTTTGGATGAAAAGCAAAAGTCAAACGCTATGAAAGAGTCGGACTTTTTGGTCAAAATTAACCCAAAAATGAGCGTAAAGTACATCGACTCGTGGATCGAAGGGAACACTTTTCTGTACATCCAAATGGAGGCCTGCGATCAGAGTCTTCGGCCCATTCTTGAGACCAAATACCAGGCATTCGGCCGACAATCAGCGAAGGAACCGCTGAAATGCCACGAATGGTACCTCTCGTGCCATATATATCGGGAACTATTGGAGTGCGTGAAGAGTTTGCATGACATGAGCCCTCAGCTCATTCATCGGGATCTTAAACCGGAGAATGTGCTGATCCAACGCCAGGCCAGTGGGCAGTGGTGTCTGAAACTGTGTGACTTCGGTCTCTCCACTCTTCATGACGATGAGATCAATTACAGGACTTCGCAAAAACACACCGCAGATGTGGGAACACCCAAATATATCGCTCATGAAGTGATGACCGGCCGCAAGTACGGCCCCAAAGCCGATGTCTACAGTCTGGCCATTATTGGCGGCGAGTTGTTTGACATTTGTGTGCCCACTATTGATCTCACAAACCTGTATGTACTGTACTGTACACTCTGTATATTATATTTAGTACTATTGTGTTTTTACATTGGAATGCATTGCAACATTAGCCTACTATAAACACGTGTGGATTAGGCATTTGTAATCCGATTTTAATAATCTCGGATGTTTTTAAACAAGTATAAATTACATTTTAATTTCATGTACTCATTTTTATAATTTCACTAATATCCTGGTCATTTCAACGCCAATCTTTAAAGTTATGGCATTTGCGTGCAATAATGAAAGAATAAATTAGTTTATTTACTCCAAATTTAAAATAAATGACAAAATTTTTTAAAATACCATTAATTTATAACAAAAGTATTTT